TTTAGCATGTATACATTACTGAAACAGCGCCGTCTACGTTGGCTTGGGCATGTTGTGAGAATGGCTGATGATCAGATTCCAAAAGATCTCCTGTATGGAGAATTAGTGCAGGGAAATCGCCCCAGAGAGAGACCACAGCTGCGATACAAGGATATCTGCAAGCGGGATCTGAAGGCCTTAGGAATGGACCTCAACAGATGGGAAACTTTTACATCTCAGCGGCCTGGAGGCAGGCGGTGCATCATGGCCTCTCCCGAATTTGAAGAGACACTTGTACAGCATACCGAGGCAAAGAGGCAGTCCCGAAACCAGCAAAACCAGGGAGATGGACAGGGGACAGATTGTATTTGTCTTCAGTGTGGAAGGGACTGGCACTCTCAAATTGGCCTTCTCAGCCACACTAGACACTGTTCCAAGACCTCCATACAGAGCATGTTACCATAGTCTCTCGAGACTGAAGGATGCCTACTAGTGTCTCTGTGATGTTGAAATGGAGGTTGCTGATGCAATGCATAGCAGTAGAATAAACGGATGCTGGTAATGCTGAGCATAAAGAGTGATTTCCATCATCTATTGTAGTAGGAAAGTATCGGGAAGCTGGGGTTGCAAAAGCCTCATGTATGGATGAAATCTGCTCAAAGGTCCTAGGTTTTTTAGATACCAAGTGGGGAGCAGGTTGAGGTATAGCCACCTCTCAGTGATGTGGCCGCTTCAACACCGATGGTTGTCGAGAGGTAGGCCAACTACTAGATGGTATTATCAAATCAGGTAAAACACCTGGACGACTAGTCAGTGTAGTCTGTCGAGCAGAGCACTGGTCGAGTCAAATGGCAACCCGATGCACACGCTGAGCTTAGGTTTGAACCACATGCGATGAAGCGAGCTGTCGAGATTGTTGATGTTGACCATTTTGGTTAAGGATCGGTGGACGATCCGAGGGCATTGAATATGGAATGGTGTTGAGCTGTTCGGGATGGGAATCCTTGGGTGATGGAATAAACAAGGGATTGCTGGAAGGAATAGAAGGTTGTGAACTGGGAGGAGAGGATGTTAGTTGGTCGACTTTATCATCCCATTCTGTAGACTGAGAACAGAGTTGATGGGACGGAGGTCTGTCATCATCTGAGGGAGATCCGACTGAAATTGATTCAGAGAGTTATTGTGGTTGTGGTGGGATGTCTGTAGGCTTAAGACTGTTTAGCTCGTTTAGGAGGAACAGGCTCCAGAGCTGGAGCAGCATCAGTAGGTCTCTGACGTTTAGAAGTTGTCTTCGAAGTCGAGGACTTTGGTATCAAGGGTTTTGATTTGCGTGTCTTCAAAGTCTTAGACGATGTAGATGGAGAATTGGAATGAGCTGGTGTAGCCGATAGACATTGTTTCGACGATTCAGTAACGGCTTTTCCCATTGCTTTGGTTTAGGAAGTGGCCCTACAAGGAGGTTGTGCCATTTGAACTGGTTGTAAGGACTGTTCCCGAAGTGGGAGTTTTAGCCTCAAGAGGTGAGATCGAAGAACTCCGTGCTTAAAATTTTTGCAATGGGTACAGGAGGAAGTTTGATGTTGTTCTCCCAAACAGAAAAGGCACTTAGCGTGTCCCTTGGAAAGTGGGATTTTATTATTACAGACAATGCAATGCTTAAATGGGCCCAAAGGGGCCATGAATATGAGAAAATACTTGAGGAGAAAAACTGATGATTAAAAGGGGGGTGCTGCGGCCAGAGGCTGAGCGAGGGAAAGGAAAAATCTCTGATGATAATGAGCTTGATCTAATAGTTTAAAAGGAAAAAGATTGATAACAGAAAGGAATCAAGAATAAGCTCTCTTTCTCTTTTACTCACAGAAGCAGAATTATGAGGCTCTCAACGTGGCAGTTGAAAGAAACTGAAAGAGGACACTTAGCGCCAAGATACTTATATGGGTGGGGAGGGGCACATTCTAATGTATTTATTGCCACTGCAGAAGCTCTAGAACAGGGGTGTCCAACCTTTCACCTTCCCTGAGCCACATTAGAAGATGAAAATTTGGTTTGGGCCGCACATAAATTTGGTTTGGGCCGCATGGGGGGGCAGCCCTAGCCATCCTCCGCAGCCCCGCTCAAAGCGTGCTTACCGGCAGCTGTGATCTCAGACAGCAGAGGCTGCCAACTTCGACTCCAGTGGCTTTATGGGGCCGGGGAGGTCCACCTATTGACGGGGATGGCGCAATGCAATCACGCAGCCCCCCTCTCCCCTCCCCTCCCGCTCCTTCCTTCTCCCCTGCACTTTTGGGATGTGCCCCAGCCGCATTCCGGCCACAAGTGCCGGCAGTGTGACTTGAAACTTTGGAATTTCTTTAAAAATAAAAAATTGCACTGGGCCGCATCATGAGCCGACCTGGGCGTGCAGGCATCACCCAGGGTGTGATTCACAGATGACACAAGGGATGGCAGAATGTTTAGGGAGATAGAAACAAGAATTGGGAAAAGACAAATAAGACAAGTAAGAGAAGGAGTTACTTAGAAAGATGAAAAAGGGAAAAATATTAAGGTGGCTTCAACGTTAAAAGCATTTATATACTTAACTTCTAGAACTGTAAAGGGGCATTTCTTAGATATTAAAAAAGGGATTGAAACTGAAATAAGGGATCATTAATCAGGGTAAAGGCATAACACGATGGTCTTTAAGGTAAACTGAAGCTAGATATAAGGATGGGGCAAAACAAATAGTACTTAATGAATATACTATATGGTATTGATATAGACATGATAGAAAATGTGGAGACAGAAATGGCTGAACAACTATACAAAGAAAATCTGTATAAAATGCTTTAGTTAACATCTATTATGTGTTAGGAAAATACTCAGTTATTATTGGTATAAAATACAAAGTTTGTCAGTTAAATCACCTCAAAATTATATATATTTGGAACTGAAATTACTTTCATTAGATATGTTTCTAGAGGACTTTGAGAACATTGTATACTCTGAGAGCAATATTATGATAGTAGCCAATACAGTGGTGCCCCACATGACGACAATAATCCGTCCCATTGAAATCACTGTTTAGCGAAACCGTCGTCATGCAAAATCCGTTTCCCCATTGGAATGCATTGAAACCCAGTTTAATGCGTTCGAATGGGGAAAATATTTCGTCGTCCTACAAAGATCGCCCATAGGGAAGCCATTTTGTGAGCGCAGATCAGCTGTAAAAATGGCTGCCCCACAAAGCATGGGTCCGGAAAACACAGGGCAGCCATTTTGCGAAGCCGGTGATCAGCTGTTTGTTCGTCTTGCGAACAAATGGTTTGCAAAGCACGGACCTAATCGATGTCCAGCGAAAATCCCCCATAGGAATGACTGTTTTGCGAATCGCTATAGCGATTGCAAAAAGTCATCGTTATGCGGATTCGTCATTTAGCGGGGTTGTCGTCTTGAGAGGTACCACTGTATTTTATACTAAAATACACAAATGAATGGTTTAAATGTTTAAAAAGATGTACAGATTTTGAAGAGACAAATAAGAAGGCACCAAGACGGAAAAAAAACAAATAATTATAAGCAACCCATGTAACACGATGTTTAACAAGCATGAATGTAATGTAGACAGACTGAAAAATTGATGTTTTTTTAAAAAAGGATTTAAAATGTCTTTGCTTTCCCCCTCTTCTATTCTCTAGTTTTAGAAGAAAACTCATGGAATTAAACAAAGGGAAATCAGAAAGCTAGAAAACACATTTGTGTCATGAGTGCAGCTGAAGATCTGGAACCTGAAGGGTTAACTGTAGCTGAGGAGAATGCTGAGCAATCAGAAATACCAATACCTGAACTGCCTCCAGGTTCTCCTCCCCCAGTAGACAAGCTGAGGGCCAGGCTTTGGGGAAGATTTATGACAAAAAGGTGAGAGGATCACTTGAAGGCTGCCTGCAGAAACATCTGATCAACTAGCTCCGAGTTCTGACAGGATGAAAAGGCTTCCAGCAGTTCAAGGGCTGTTTTTACTATATAAACAGCTCTCAGACGGCTGAAAATCTGTGGAAACAACAAGTCAAACCTCTGGCTTGCATCCACGCTCCTGACAACCTTGAACCTTGTTCCCTGGACCCTTGGCTTTGGACTCTGACCCTGGACTTGGTTGTGCATTTTGGCTTTGGACTCTGACCCTGGACTACGTTGTGTGAGTTGGCTTTGGTATTTGGATATCGGCTCTGCATTCCCTGAATTCCTGACATAGGACTGGTTTATCGGATTCTGCTGTTGTAACTCCCTGGGAACGTGACAATTTGAAAGAATGAACGTTCTAGAATGCTCCTCTGATGCTTCCAAGGCAATGGCAAAAGAGGAACTGAGGGAAGGCTGTGAGAGGCACAAACATGTGCTCTGGGGTCAGGGAGTCCAACAACCTTCTTTTTCTAAGCTCTAGAATGGTCCAATAATTTTACACAGGCACAAAGTTAACCCACTGTGTGTATTCACAAATACCACAATGAAGAACTGGCCAACTGACCCACTAAAGTTGGCCACTCCTCTGGAATGTGCAGGGGTTCCCACATTCAACTCCAGGCATCTCTGCCTGTGACTATGGAGAGACACTGTCAGTCAGAAAATACCATTCTGGACAATCTGAGTCAAAATAAAGTGATTTCAGAAAACAATTATTATTTTTCTTTTTAATTTTCTTTTATTTTCAATTCCTTTATTTTATTTTTAATTTAGTTTAATTTATTTTTTCTTTAAGTTTAATTTTAAATGAATTCCCTTTAGCCCTCTTTCAGAGTTTGAATTTTTGGTTAAATTTCTCTAGCTGCACAGCAGAAGTGGAGGGATTAACAGCAGAGTAGCTTCAAGTTCCTCAAATATTAGTCCACCCTTTTTATCAACTGGCATGTACAGTTTCAGTAACTCACTCTGAGACATTAGTACTTTTCACTATAAACCTATTCCTTAATATCTGTGGTCTTCAGTGGGGGGGGGGGATAAATAGATATACTGCTATATAAAATTTAACAAAAAGTAGTTATAATTACCTGGCATGTGCACATATCCACTGATCAATAATGGCTATCCCTCCATCTTTGTAGAGTTCTATTTCTTCCCAAGTTGGTTCAAATCTTATCATCTCTGGAAGCAGTCTTTTCAATTTTTCAATCTCTGAAAAAAGATACTACACCAATCATCTTCTACTCATATGCTGCATCAGTAGGTTATAACACAATTTTTCCTTCTCTTTATTAAGCATTTTTGAAGAGAGATTTTTTAAAAAGGAGGGAAGGACAAGTTACCTACCTGTAATTGTAGTTCTTTGAGTGGTCCTCTGTGATTCACGCTTTGGGTGATCTGTGCATGTACGGAGCCTTGTCAGAATATTCTAGAGTTTCTTCGTCCTTTGATGTACCTTGGCACCAAGGCTCTCCCTTCAGTAAAGTCAACTGCTGCCTAGGAGTAAAGGGCGTGACAGTGGAGAGGCTGGGTCAGGATGTGGGAATCACGGAGGACCACTCGAAGAACTAGAATAGGTAACTTATCCTTCTTCTTCATAGCCTCTGTGAATCGCACTCTGGCTTATCTGGAGGAGGGTGTCATGCCAAGGTAGAAGAAAGTATAGCACATCCAACAGCTGCATCAAACTTCTGATGAACATCTAGCCAATAGTGATTAATAAACATGGATAAATCTCATGGAGGGGAATCCCTCATAGAAAAGGTGTGAATGCTGTCAATGCCATGGCAGAATGTGGGCAAAGGGGCTGTGGCATGGGAAGGCATGCAAGTTGGTAGGCAAGTTGGATAGCAGACAACTCACTTGGATATACATTAAGAGGTGACTTGGAGACCTTTTAATGGAGGCTAGTAGCTAACAAAAAGTCTAGATGAACGCTGGAATGGTTGTGTGTGGGATATGTAGAAAGCCAGAGCCCGTCTTACATCTAAGATGTGAAGGATACATTCTTGAGCACTGGATGGAGATGGGAAGAAGGATGGAAGAACCAAGGGTTGAGAGAGGTGGAACTGGGAGACAACCTTGGGAAGGAATGAAATATCTACAAAAAGTCAAATCTTGTCAGGGTGGTGTGATGAGATGGGTTTTTTAGTTAAAATCTTTTAAGGCATATGGGTTTTGTAATTAAGAAATGAGCCAGAGAGGTTCCATCTTGTTTCTTTGTATAAAGTATCTTTGCTATGCTGACAAGTTGTTTTCTAGGCGAGCAGAGAGAATGTTATTCTGAGAGCCTGAGAAAGGACTCGGTGATTAGATGGGAATTGTTGTGACTCTTTGATAAACTACAGTAACCCAAATAACATCTGGTGCGTATGGGAAAGAAGTCATGTTGTACAACAGGACTGTTTGCCTAGTAACGAACTCTGATTGGATGACATCGTGGGAAGGTGCAATAAGCCCTTGCCAGTTACTCTTGAAAAAGGAACTTTTTCCCTGTGGACATTGTCTTTCAAGACCGACTCTTCATTCATTCGTGACACATGGGACTAACCGTTACTATACTGAATTACCCTTGGATTTATGGGATTTTTTCCTAAGGACTATGCATGGACTATTTTCTATGGACTGTTACCTATGGAATATCCTTTATGAACTTCTTTTCTTGGAATACTCCATATGGACTATGCTCTTGTAATTTTGTAAGGACTATGGTACATTTACTGGATTTTTCTTTTCTAAGGACTATGGGACATATAATGGATTTTTACTTTTGTTTAGGGGTTTTTATTCTATAGGATCACTGAGGACTATAGCCTTTTTATAACCTACTTGGATTATTTTGTTTTTACTAATGATTTCCTAGACTGGAACTGTTTTTATTCTTTTTAATGGCTTTTTGTGTTTTTGTAAGGTTTTTGAACACTTTTCTATTTTTCATGTTTTCTTTGCCTCACTACATCTTTGTAACTAAACAGCACAATGCTAGTTTATTTGCTTTGGTTTAATTTGGCTTTGATACTTAGTAACATGCTTATTCTTTAATAAAATAAAGATTATAAAACTCATTTGGTTTTCTGAACAGTACACTTGTCATAGGGTCATCTGAGAGTGCTGCCTCGGCCTAGCTTACTTAGAGTCCTGTCAGTGGTGCAAGTTAAGTCTAAGGACTACAAAGCCCACTTGACCTTTTCATAATAATATTTAAGAGTACCAGGGTGTTCTTATGTGGGCAGACCTGTGAGAAGGAGTGTTGTATCATGGCTAGCTGAGTTTGGACTCATTTTAGCATGTGCAAACTCCTGATTGCTCTCTGTCCAGGCTTACACGTGTGTTTTTGGACCTGTGTTTGCTGACAGGTGGAACTGGAGATATGGGTAGTTGAACTGCAACGGTGCAAGCTCACTGGCTCTTTGTGCAGAGGTGACTGGCATGAGGAATGCTATCTTAATAGGAGACAGAGGTCTCTCGATGCTAGGGACTTGAAAGGGACCCTTGTAAGGTGTTGAAGGACTAATGTCAATGACCACTGAGGTGGAGATCAGGGTATATGTATCAGGGTATATGTGAGTTAGCCCTTTAAGAAAATAATTGAGAGTAGGATGCCTGAAGAATTTAGAGGCTGGAGAGGTTGGTGGCTGGTGTGCAACAATGGCAGAAAGATATAGTTTGATTGATGAAAAAGTCCCTTGCATTTAAGGTGTAGAAAAAAATGTAGAACAGAGGAGAGAGAAGGGTTAATTGGTGACCGTGCTGTTGAGAAAGTGAAGGATTTGAATTTTTTCCATTTATACATGTAGGCCCTCCTGGTCAAGGGTTTCTTTGCATGATGAAAAACATTAATCAAGGAGGCAGAATCCTCCATGCCACAAGATGAAGCGCTGGGAGATCTGGTCTATAGGTCAATTCTCCGGCTGCAAGTCGAACCTAAATTTTGCGGCCAGAGAAGTCTGTAAGTCGAGCCGTCTGTAAGTCGAGGGTCCGCTGTAGGCCATAGACTGCATCCTTCTTGGTAACCATGAAATATCAGGAGTAGAAGCCGTCAAGTGCTGCCTGAGAAGAAACGCGTTGAATGGCGTGCTTCTCACGAAGGACAGAGATTTCTTCCTCTAGAGCAGGTGAGAAAGAAGTGGCCCGGAGATGACCAAGAGGAGGAAGATTTAAGAACTCTAGCAGGCAACCAAAACGTATGATGGCGAATACCAAGTGTCTGTGGTGATGTTGTTCCACTTGTTGAAAAATGGGGCTAGCCAGGGAAGAAAAGATGGATTGGAAAGATGAATCAGTGGATTGGGAAGAATCAGTAGATGAGAGTCAAAGATATTGTTTGCCCCTCTTGCAGGGCAATGGAAATTTTGGCAACGCTGATTAGATGGTTGTGGCCAGAAGGACATGATAGCAGACTGGGAGGGGGGTTGATCTTTCCTGTGGAAGTTTATACAGATGGTAGGTTTACCGGTATGGTTGTTGGAATGATTGTTGGCATGCCTGGTGAATAGTGGCATGGTGAATAGTCTGCGCCATTGCTGCCATTGAAATTGAGGTTGTTGAAGATAATATGATCTGGCCGCTTTCTTGATTTTGTGCAAATTTTCCATAACTTCATCTGTTTTCTCGTTAAATAATCCAGCACCGTCAGAGGGTGGTTCTTCAATTCTGGACTTGACATCATCATTTACCCAGATGTGCATAGCCAGGCATGCCTCCTTAAAGTGTTGACTGATGTCATGGCCTTGGAAGTAGCACCAGCAGTGTGCCTCGATGTCAGGCATTGCGGTTTGGCCAAAGTCATTGCTTCTAGGTGGGTATTCAAGGCCGCAGTTCTGGTATCCTCAAGGCCAACTTGGAGAATTGGAAGGATTTTATTCCAAAGCTGCCTCTGATAAGCGCCCATTGCCACTTGGTAGTTGGATACGCGCATCATGAAAGTAGCCAAGGAGTACAGATGATGTCCCAGGACATCTAGTTTGCGGTCGTCCCTATTAGTAGGGGTGACCTTATTTATTGAGGAAGAGTGTATTGGAACCATGTGTTTTATAGTGGTTCTCCACTCTTCTGGAGATCTGTAAATATGAAGGAAGTTGTGACCAAGATTCTTTGATGAGGTCTAGCATTGCTAGACCTCATCAGGCTAGACTCAGATGAGGTGTTCTCTCTTGAGTAATATCCTCAAACACTAGATCGTGCTTGGGAGGTGGAGGCTGGTCTATATTTAATTCCAGTGACTTGGGCCATCCTCATGATCAATTGCAAATAGGATGTGAAATCCTCTGAGGGAGAGGGAAGATGCATATCCGCAGCGTCTGTGTCAGGAATGGGAAGATTTGGGGGCGATTCCCTGGACTCTTCTGATTAGAGGTCTTGCTCCGATTCAGATAGTATTGAAGAATCCCTTGATTCAACACCGACAGATAGAGGTGGTGAAGGTGAATGGTATCAGGTTCTCGATGCGGAGGCTACAGGTTGAGCGGAGACCTCCACCTCTACAGATCTTGATGGTGTGCAAGTCAAACGGACATGGGCCACCTTAGAATGTACACCCAAAGGCATTGATATTGAAGAGACTCTGGGATGCTTGTCAGTGTGGAGAGCATGCTCTTCATGTTGCTGGCGCTTGGAGGGCTTCGCAGCTGCCATTTCTGGCTGAATATAAACTCGACGTTGACGCGGAGGCGGCAAGGGAGATAGAGATAATTGAGAAAATGCATATACATACCAACATATCTCACCCTCTTAGGCCTGACATATTCCCCAGTATCAAACTCGGGATCAATATCTTACTGTCGATATTGGTGTAAATCGGTCCACGGGTCCATCTCGACATACATAGGTTCTTCATATTCAGTCACTATATGACGTTGAGACTGATGAGGGAGAACAATCACCTCCCAATGTCCAGGTTGGTCGGGGGAGATGTGCTGGGTCCGACAACTATACAACTTGTGCCCGCCTGATGGATATAGGGCTGGAATGGGCCGAGGCCTGGCTGGATATAATCTAAGCCTCAGAATGGCCTTGTGTCAGGGATAGGCTCAGGACGAATACCGATGCTCATGGTCGAAGACCATCTTCATCAGAAGTTGAGTTTTGCATCTCCTGACAGGCTCCTCCAATATAGGCGATGATAATGTTGCTTGAACTGGAGAGGGTTTGGTAAGATGAACTGCCTTAGGATATTCAGACTTCTTTTGTTTAACAACCTTTTTCTTTTTAGGGTCCTTGGTAATGGCCTTTGGTACTAACGTCGAACTCGGTGCCAAAGTTTTTTCGGCTTCGAAATCTTAGAGGAAGCTTAAGATGATGTGGTTGTCTGGGCTGGTGAAGCTGGGGGTCAGGGTGAGGAGTCGGAGGAGCAGATGATAAGGTAGGTTCCATAGTAGCCGGGCCCGATGATCTCAATGACGTCTCCCACAGATGGGAGCGAAGTCGTTGCAGATATTGCTTTAAGACTGGCTTGGTTAATTTCTTGACAGAACCCAGGCTTTCCCCTAAACAAAAAAGGCACCAATCGTGGCTGTCTGTGAAAGGGATCTTGTTTGCACATGATGCACACCTTTTCAACGGGCCTGAAAAAATCATAAACTTTGGTGGGAATCTGACAGAAATAAAATGATTGAAAGAACTCACAGGAAACGTAAAAAAAAAGATTGAATGTAAAAAAAAGCAGGAACTTATTATAATATGTGGTGGACATATGAAAAAGCCAAGGGTTATTGGTTACAGCTGTGGGAAATAATAAAAGGAGTCACTCAACAGAAATTAAATTATAAACCTGAAATAGCACTACTAAATATTATGCCAGAAATTACTGACAAGAAAATTAAATACTGTTTGATGTATATATCTGTAGCGGTTAGGTTACTCTGGGCCCAAAAATGGAAAAGTGAAGATACACCTACAAGGGAGGAGTTCTTGAAGAAGCTGTTGAATATCGTAGAACTAGACACACTCTCAGAAGCACTATGAGAACAACCAAGGGACTATGTAAAACAAAGCTGAAACTTACTATATGTTTTGGCCCAGGGAAAGAGCAAAGCTTAGGGCAAAATGGTTTATGTGTTTTTTCAGTGCTCTCTGGAAACTTGGGAAATTCGGGACTTAAATGAGGTTGGAATCTCTGTCCTCAAAGGGGGGATGGGGGACTTTTTTTGCTTTTCTATACTGTATTCTGTTGTAGTTTGTAGATTTTTATGTTCGAACAAAAAGAATTATTCAAAAGGGAAAAAAAGATCAAATGCAGTCCAAGTCAAGCTGGAATATCAGTCCAATAAAGAGAATCAAGCAAATGCGATAAATTAAGTCCAATTGGATAACTGTTTTCTCATGGAGAGTTCACAAGTCATTCTGTCTCTCCACTGCCCTAATCCCATCTTTTCCCTTCTCATCAGGCATCACAGATCCTGGACTTCTTAAATACAGTGGTGCATCGTATAACGAGTGCCCCGTTTAACGATGAATCTGCATAGCTATGGCTTTTTTGCCATCGCTTTTGCGATCGCATTGTGATGTTGCCTATGGGGAAAAATCATTTTGCGATTTTTTCCCCATAGGCCCCATTTTCCCCCAGCTGAGCGGCGGGAGCCTCCGAAGGACCTCTCCCGCCACTCAGCTGGGGGGAAATGCCGGCAGTAGCCTTGGAAGGACCCTTCCGGCCGCGATGCGGATCCAAGCGGCGGCGGCGGCGGCAGCAGGGGGTGTCCGGAAGGCTTCCAGGCAAAGCACTGGAACTGAGAGGACTATTATTGTGACACAAGAAATTAATTGATTTCTTATCTAAAGACGTCTGTGATCCCAGTGAACCTCTTTGCAGAAGAGGCTGCCAGTAATCTCAGATTCCCCTCTGTCTCCATTTGAAGTTTGATTAAAGCGCTCCTAATTTATAAGAGCAGTGAGATTACCGACTCTGAGAATGGTGTCCATTGAAGAGCTCCATGAATCCATGTTTTGTGTGTGCTTCCTGATTGTGAGCATGGTGCTCAAGAAGCCCAGCCAGGTGAGGAGCACAAGTGAAAATGCTGTTAATGAGCACCTGTGAAACCAGCCATTTCTTAATGTTTCATGCTCTGAAACACTAGTGGGGTTAGCCCTCCAGATGTTTTGGAAAACAACTTGCCGTAGTCCTATATCATAGAACATACAGAATGGGGCTGATGGGGAGTATTAGCACAAAACGTTTAGAAGGCAGGCTGTAGAGCAGTGGTTCTCAGACTTTGGTTCCCAGATGTTCTTGGACTACAACTCCCAGAAATGCTGGCCAGCAGAATAAGTGGTTGAAGGCTTCTTGGAATTGCTGTCCAAGAACATCTGGGGGGACCCCAGTTTGAGAACCATTGCTCTAAAGAGTGTGCCACTAATTTTTTATTCAGAAAAAATAGGTGGTCAGCCATCTGTGAGATGTTTGGGGACTCAGATGGCTTCCAGGCAAAGCCCTGGAAGCCATCCGGACCCCCGCCGCCGCTGAGAGCCTTCCGAGCTCTCAAAGGGCTTTCTCCAATGTCAGGGGGAAAGCCCTTTGAGAGCTCGGGAGGCAAATGTTGGCGGTCGGCGGTGGCTTCGGGGTCCTTCCAAAGCCACCGCCGACCGACTGCCGACATTTTCTCCCAGCTGAGCAGTGAGCCTTTGAAGCTCCCGCCACTCAGCTGGGGGAAAATGCCAAAGGACCCATTTTCGGTCAGCTGGTCAGCGGTTCCAAAATGGCCGCCCCGCTGTGTTGCCTCACTTTAGAGGCACCGAAAATGGCCGCCCCTATGGAGGAACAGCGCTGAACGGTGAGTTTATCCCCCATAGGAACGCATTAAACGAAGTTTAATGCGTTCCTATGGGTTTTTCCGTTTCGTTTAGCGATGTTTCCACATAGCGACAATTAATCCAGAATGGATTAACGTCGCTATGCGGGGCACCACTGTACATCTCACAAATGGTTATTAGTTTGTTTCCTCCTTTAACAGAGGTTTCTGCTATTCAGAATTGCATGTATGTCGGTCAAGCTCTTTGGAACATAATGTGAAGCACCAGAGTAATGTGAAAAAGCTACATACATACCTTCAACAATGGCATCAGTGGCTACAAAAACTCTCTCAAGTTTGTGTGACTTCAAGAGGCCTTGGATTTTCTTAACAGCTCCCTCGATGCTGGGCACATCATTTCTGTGACCCCAGATGAAGTCTTTACGTCTGAGATGAACTCCAAGGTATGGGCCACCTTTGGCTGTGCCCAACTTTACCTAGCACAGAAGAACCAGTACATGCTGAAACTGAAATAAAATGGTATTGATTCAGCAGGAAAATATGAAACAAACACATGTTCTGCAATATTCTTAATATACTCACTTATATGGGAAATACACATTTAACAACACTGTAATATTCACTGTAAGTTGTCATACGTTAATCAGTCTTTTTTATAACACCAACCATTTCAATTATGTATCATTAAGGCAATTTTACAGGCATTCAAGTTCTTTAATAGTTATTGAAATTTATTTTTACTGAAATGTTATTTAAATTTAAATTAATAATTTTTCATTATTTTAGAATTAAAATTGCTGACTTCTTCATAGTACTTCTGACAGAAGTTGCTATTTACTGATAAGGGTTTATTGGTAGCCACTACACATTCCATTCCAAAACACTACCTAAATACGTTTATAGCCAGCATAAGAAAAGATGTACATGGTCTGAATTTGGTACCTTTGTAGTCTTATTCAAGCATTCAGCATTAGGATGAGGAAGAAGGCATATTAACTCTGTACCCCCACAAATGTTTCAATCACAGTCTGGCTGAAATAGAAATCTTCCTTGTGCAGAAGAGGCTCTCCTCTTCAGAACTTGCTTTTTTCATACAGAATGCATAGACAACAAGGCTAGCATATTCCATTTCACACATGTTTATTTAACTCTGAGACCGAATATCTGAATGGGACTCCTGAGAATGCTTGATTTTAGATATATTCATACTGTAATCTGTTAACTATCTGATTACTGATTTGTTCATTTTTCCTGCAAAAAGTCTCTTGGGTTCTTCTCAAGATTCCACACGTAGGAAGCCACATACAATATGTGTTTGAACTCGCCATTTGGTGTCCTAAACACATTTCCACTAATGACTCTTCTTGCATGGACATAACAGTAAACAAGGACAATAAAGGCAGATTTATTTTTAGATCTAATTTACAAAGGATTATAAACAGGCTATTATAGACAGTACAGTACTGGTCTGTGTGAGTTCACGCATGGTGCATGCATACAGATCAAACCTGGCTACATTTCTGGTCCAGTTGTGTAAAAGTTAAAGACTCTACTGCTATTTGGTTATTCAAAGGATATGCTGGATGTGACAATCAGCTCTCCTAAGAGAATGCTGAAAGCTGGAATAGAGAGGTTCCAAGTCCAGTTGACCCCTATTTTAGTTGAGATGAGTCCATGTCTCAACCAGGCTGTCTAACTGGCACCCTTCTACCAAGTCTATTCCCACTTAAAATCACTGAGAAACCAAGTTAGAATCATGAGTCTTAGAGTCATCTAACACTCCCAAAATTCAAGAAAATACTGGACTCAAAGTAGCGTCATTTGTGGCCTTAAAGAAAAAAATGAGTATGGTATCAGGTTATCTGTTCAAGAGACCAAGCATAAGTTTTAAATATTATTGTTTTATTAGAAAAATAAAGATTTAGATAAATTCAGTTTGTTGCTAAGCATAGCATTCAAAAACATTTCCATTACTAAGGAAGTTAGAAATCTAGCAAATCCCAGCTACCAATAATAATTTAAAAAACTACTAACTAGAAAAAATAGGTAAGGCTGAGCCTTCCTTTCTATTCTCCTACTATGAACTACATCCTAGCAAATCAATGGGAACTACAAAGTCCATTCAAAAATCCATAATCAAAGGTAAAGTCCAAAAATCCATAAGCACAAAAAGTCTGTCTCTGTGTCAGCATTCCTCCATTTTCTTCTCATGCTGGACCACCCTCCTCTTTCACTCTTTCACTGATGTACACCAATCAGGACGAAGGTTTGCTCGTCTCTCTGCGCCTCATTTTCTCATGAGATTCGCAGGTATTGTTGACATTCCTCCTCAGATGTTATGGCTCGGCTCTTCGTCTTCGTCTCAGCCACACTACCCACATGATAACATTCCTAACTAGCTGCAAGAGAAAACAGCTTCTCGATGCTTCTAGTACAATGACACAGACCAAGATGGATTCCTTCTACACCATTCTATGACTACAAATCCCATTTAGAAATTACATTCTAGCTTCAATAACCTAAACCATGACACTGGATACCTCAACAGCCTCAAATGGCCTCCGCAGGTCATATTTATGAAGCTATATGGGAAGCAATCCCTTCCTGGGGAAAACGGGGTCAATTCAATCTCGGCATCAAAGAGCTCCTACAGTCTGGTCTTTATTCAAATAAAGCTGTTATCTTTCCCACAGCTTTAGGGGGTAAGAGCATCCAGTCTCTCTCTCCTCACCTTTACAAAGTTTTTTTTTTTTTTAGCAGAGGTATCCTTGCTTAAGGTGCCAACTGTCCCCTGAGTTTCCCATCTGAGACTTATGTGAAAAATGTAGGAATCCTCTTATTCATTAAAATGGTGACTCTAAACATATGGCAATGCAGCTTTCTTCTATCGTAACTGCAAGACATATCTCAGATTTTGTAACACTCAACTTGTACTTTACATGACAACGTAGTTGTCACAATCCCCACGTGGCCCCTGCTTGTTTCACCAAACTAGGAGCTCATAATACATGCCCCTCAGCTGCCACCAGTTGATTACATCAACATTACCTATTATTAATGATTGAAGTCCAGGCCATATGTCATTTTAAAAGAACCAAATATAAATTTTTTATTGTTACAGATGTAGATGCACTGTTGTTAACTCTTAACAAACATCCTCCTTCATCCACTCTCAACCACCACTTTCCCACCCAAACTCCCAAAATTGTCTCTCAAAACCCCCTCTATCTAACTCCCCCTCCTCCTGCTGAGCCTCTTATATCTCATGACTCTGCCCCAGTACTCCCACTGGTCTATGCAGATAGCATATGAATATTCATGACCTGGGCAGACACCACAGTAGTGCTCATGCCTTACCATTCATTTTTTTAAAAAACCAATTTATATTTCACAGGATTCAAGAAGCAAGTGTATCATTTTTTTGGTCAAAAGCTTAAGCACCAAAAGAAAAGTACAGGCATAAGTTGGATCCCTGCAGGGCCTCTTAGGCTAGCTGCTACCAATTCCACCAATTCCTTGCAGTCCATGATGTTAAGATCACTGACACTCAAGGAGGCCAAAAAAGGCCACATTAGGAACCAAGCTTTCTTGGCCGTAGCTCATTCCCTTGAGAATAATCTTCCTATAGGGGTTCCTAAAAAGACTACCATCAGTCTTCTGAAAGCTAATTAAGATAGAATTATATAAAGATGACTTCTACTAATGAATATTGGACCTGAGATCAAGAATCATAGGATCAAAAATCAGAATAATGAAGCTGCAAGGGGTCTATAAGGCCATAAAGTCCAATCTCCTGCTCAATACAGAATAAAAATCAAAGAATTTTCATTTGCCAAGTGATTGTCTAAATTTTTCTTGAATGTCTCCAATGTTGGAGCACTTATCATCTCTCAAGGTAATTGGTTGCACTGCCATAATGTTCTAACAGTATGTTTCACAGAAATCTAGCTTCCTGTAACTTAAGCCCATTGTGTGTCCTGTAGTCTGGGGTGATGAGCATCCCCAATCAAGGTCATTAATTAAAATGTTGAAGAGCACTGGGCCCAGGATGGAGCTCTGGGGTATCCTACTTGTTACCTCCTCCCATTTTGATTAATCATCCCCCTCTGAGTACAATTCTGTAGCCAACTGTGTATCCATCTGACAGTTGTTCTATCTAGCCGACACCTAGTTAGCTTGCTAATCAGAATATCTTGAGGCACTTTGTCAAAACCTTTGCTGAAGTCAAGATTATGTCTACAGCATTCCCTCTGTTTATCAGAGGTTACCAAATCAAAAAATGAAATCAAATTAGATGCACAAATGGGCTTTATGTATGTCTATTTATTGTTTTAGCTAGTAACAATTTTTTGTACTTTTTGCATTTTTCTTGGATTTATTGTGTTTTTACTCTATGATTTATTGTATGCTGCCAACTGCCCCGAGAGTGATAATACTAATGGGGCAGTATAGCAATGGAAATAATAAACAAATAAAAGCCATAGCTTAAACACAAAGAGAAATAGAGAGGTTACTTACCTGTAACTCTGGTTCTCCGAGTGGTACTCTGTGAACGAACACTAATGGGTTAAATCTGCACCTGCGCAGAGATCTCCGGAATATTCTACAGCTTTATGCTAATCTAAGCAGGACCCACACACACACGAGGTCCACCCTCCCTCCAAAGTACCTCAGTTCCAGAGATAGTCCGCCGCTGCATCAAGGGATACAGGAGTGACGGATAGAGGGGAGGATGGGTGGGAAGTGTGAATTCACAGAGTACCACTAAAAGAACCAGAGTTACAGGTAAGTAACCGCTCTTTCTTCTTCATGATCTCTGTGAATGCACATTAATGGGTGACTGACCAGCTTACCTCATTGGTGGAGGAACATCACAACATGATTGAAGAAAGTACTGCTCATCCGAAAGATGCATCAGCCTTAGCCCTCAGGTCCAGTCTGTAGTGGGCAACAAATGTAGATGGTGTGGACCATGTAGCAGCTTTGCAAATGTCCGGGAGGGAGACTCCACAAAGAAAAGCTGGGGACGTGGCAGTAGCTCTGGTTGAGTGAGCTTTGATCCCAGCAGGCAATGGTTGCTTAGTAAGTTGATAGGCTAGTTTAATGGTTGAAACCAGCCACCTGGAAATTGTTTACAAGGATACTTGGGAACCCCCTATGAGAGGGATGTGATGAAATAAAAAGTCTTTTAGATTTTCTGAAAGAAGACGTTCTGGATAGATAGAAGGTGAGAGCTCTCTTGACATCAAGTAAGTGTAGCGAGCATTCCAGGTCCGTTGTAGGGGATGGAAAAACTGTAGGGAGGATAATAGGTTGTGATAGATGAAACGCTGAAACGACCTTAGGTAGGAGTGACACGTCCGGGAATAAAGTAACCTTATTGGAATGGAATTGTAGAAATGAAGGATCAATTCTCAGGGCTGCAAGCTCAGAGGCTCTGCGAGCAGAGGCAATAGCAATGAGGAACAACGTTTTG